ACGTTTTTGTGACTGCAGGAATCCATACTCTTTGGTTCTTTTGGTAAAGTCATGTAGGTAGAAAAAATAATAATAAATCACGACGTTTCGATCGGAACACAAGCAACGTTTTAACGTGATGGGTTCACACGATATTATTTTTTCCGAGACCAAGGTACTCTGCAAACGTTCGGGCAACCATCAAAGATTTGTCCATGAAGCCATCCAAATATATAAACACAGACACAATTTCAACCGAGAAGATGGGTACAAACTGAGCAATAATTGGAAGGATGTTATTCACCAGGTAAAATCATAACTTGCTGTGATGTTTCCATCCTTCCTGCCATTGTTTAGCAGTTATTTCCTACTCTCTGAATCACATCACCTTGTCAAATGTCTTTACATTAACAGACTGAGGTCTCACTAACATAGCCACCGCTGCTCCCTTTTGCCTCGATGTAACGGTAGCTCTCGCTGTTTTATAGGCTGTATGTCTCACCGGTGGTTCTCTGGCGTTAATACGCTGGCCTCTCACTGTGCAGCAGCCAATGCCGCAGCTTGTGTTTCCCACGAGGTGGCGCTATGCCCGGTCCTCTGACACGGACATGCTATCTTCACATTTAACTCATTTACATTGACATGCCAATCTCTCCCTCTAATGCAGCTGCTGTGCGTGCGTGCGGCGACGGGACTCCTTTCCATCTCTGACCCCGCCTACTTACCCTTGGGTGACGCACACCTCAAACCTCTACAAATAACCTCTTGTTGCAGCAGCCCTGTCTTGTTCAGCAGTTCTACTGCTGTATCTTTCCACCTGATGACGATTGCGTGTGTTGCGATCGAAACGTCGTGATTTATTATTTATTTTTCTACCTACGTGACTTTACCGAAAGAACCAAAGAGTATAAATGTTACATGGTGGGCAAAATTGAAAGCGAACTAAATATTGTAGGCACTGTTCTTTTTCAGTGGTTCAGCTCTTTTTAGAAAATGCCACTCGAAATGTTCAGAAATTTGACCTGGCATGCTGTCAGAGAGCATCTCATTCTTGTTTAATGAAAGCTCGTGTGTACAGTTTCCCTGTATGGTTTATCTGTAGCTTCGGGCACGAACAAAAAAAGAAACAGGATAAAAAAAAATCAATTGTCAACATTTTATTCTGTCTCAAAAACAAGCTTGCTTCTTTAACAGATAGCAAACACAAAGGGTAACATGACACCGTACTGTATAAACAAATGTTCAATACACTCGGTAATATTTTCCGAAGGGTTTTAGTAATTGCGTGGGTAAGACAAGATGAGCAACGCTGAAAAGAACATGGCAGGGTGAATGTTGCAGATATGTTGAGGTGGGCATTGGAATAGTTTCCATGAGTGACAACCAAGGGACAAGACCTTAAGACCAGATGGTGGGACACTGTTAGGGCAGATCTTGGAGGCCCTGTGACCACTGCGCAGCAGCTGTGGGAGCTGGAGGGGGGTCGTGGGAGCATTGGCGAGGCACGGTGACACGAACAGCTTTGGCCATGCACTCTGTTACCCCTTGTGCATCGCACCCTCCAATTAGTACGGTTGGCTATGTGCGGTGCGAAAGATGTTCGACATACATACATACAACAGGCAATTGCTCTCACTGTTATTGTCCAGTGGTAGATATGAAGTTGTACACTTGTAATGACCATCAATCTCTCTTAACAGGTCGGCAGTGTGGTGATTAGTGAATAAATAGGCAATATACTTTGAGTTGGTTCAGAATTCCATCACCAAGAATGCACATGAAAAATTTCGTTATCGAATATCTGCAGCAATGCAATTACATCACTGTAAATGCTGTTGCCAAATGCGTCTGGTTGCGTTCCAAATATTGTAAAGGGTTTTATGCAACATTGATTTCAGTTATTACAAGCATGCGTCGAGTTTTGCTATCGCGTTGTACTAATGTTAAATCAATTTGGCTATCTGTTAAGTCCTACATTGCCAATGCTATCCGTCACACAAATGTCTTCACTGGCAATGAGATCTAAAATATTTTCCTCAATATATTTCTACATTCCAGGATGGCATTTGATCAATAGCAATTTTAAAATCACGCTATTCAGAATGACATTAACTTTTCAAATCCTGTCGAAACTTCTCCTTAAAAAAATGAAATGAAAGTCACTGGCAATAAATGTAGTAAATCCACTTTCCACGATAATGTATACATCTTCAGCGAAGCTACTGACAGTTCATTCAACAAATGTGTGTCGCGGATTGAACCCTGAAGGGCCTCACTGAGTCTCAAAACCTGTTCATGAGCATCTCGCTTGGGATATTTGGCCAATTGATCCCTATGGCGGTAACCCGGGGTACCAAATAATACAAAATGGGCCGAGGCAACTAAATATTTTATTTCTGGAACACTCTTTTTTTCCAGGGGTGTACTTCACTCCGCGACTGGGGTACCAATCAATCCGACATCAGTGCCACTCTCTGCAATGTCGAAAGGCAGCGAGGATGATTTCGCTGAAACCCTGAACGCTCGTACGCACCGTGGTGGTGCATCGTGTACGGCTCGTCGAGATGAGTCGATTGCCACATCGCCGACCGTCAACAGATTAAAATGACCGCATCACGGACATTATGCGAGAGCCCCGGGTACTATGCTACCCCGGGGTACCGTCATAAGGTTAAATTCCCAGTTAAGTCTTTTTTTTGTGTCAGGGGAAACCTAATTACCTAGGGGGGGGGGGGGGGGGGGGGAGGGGGGAAATATGCATGAGAGGATGAGACTTAAAAACCATTTGAATAGGTCAGAAAGCTATCTCAACTAGAATAATTCTACAGCACTCATGCGGGTCAGCAGTGTCACTCACATGACCATATCTGTGTGAGCCATCATCCCTGCCTCCAAAGTGCCGGGTGACAGGCATGCGCTACTTTATATCCACATGCGCTGTAAAAAAAGATATAACCATGGCTTCCTCTGCATAATACTTCATGAGTTGCCAGTGCTGCACATTTATTAATTTGCCTACCCATTCCGTCAGTTATCTTAAATGAGAAAACCAGCCCCTAATTATACACCTTGCGATAATGTGCAATATTTAGCCTAGAGCTGCGAAAGACTGGAATCAAACAGCACAAACGTAATGGCACAAGCTCATAATGAAATGGAGGCAGCGGTAATGGCTGTCTAACACCCTCGGAAGTTCAGCACGTGGGAAAATAATTGTGCCAGATATGAACAATTACTATTCCTGTGCTTGCATTTGACAGAAGAAGTTATTGCCTGGATGTTTAAATTGTTAATGCACCAAGGGCATGCAGGTTGTGTGCACACCACTGCCTTTTCAATACACTTGCAACTTCAACTGGGTATCTTTACTATATATAATACATCACTGGATATACATTTTTTCATTTGAACTTTGCATTGCACAGTATATTCTAAAAAAAACAATAAATATTACATTGGCACGTTAAAATAAAAAGAAACACATAAAACATACATTAATATTACTACCACCATGTTATTTTTGTTCTTTTCGCTTACCATTTTTTCAAATACACTTTGAAATGTGTACTGGAAATTATATTTACGTAGCTACAGTGAGGGAAAAAGAATTTGATCCCTTGCTGATTTTGTACGTTTGCCGACTGACAAAGAAATTATCAGTCTATAATTTTAATGGTAAGTTTACAGTGAGAGACAGAATAACAACAAAAAAATCCAGAAAATCGCATGTCAAAAATGTTATAAATTTATTTGCATTTTAATGAGGGAAATACGTGTTTGACCCCTCTGCAAAACATGACTTAGTACTTGGTGGCAAAACCCTTGTTGGCAATCACAGAGGTCAGACGTTTCTTGTAGTTGGCCACCAGGTTTGCACACATCTCAGGAGGGATTTTGTCCCACTCCTCTTTGCAAATCTTCTCCAAGTCATTAAGGTTTCGAGGCTGACGTTTGGCAACTCGAACCTTCAGCTCCCTCCACAGATTTTCTAAGGGATTAAGGTCTGGTGACTGGCTAGGCCACTCCATGACCTAAATGTGCTTCTTCTTGAGCCACTCCTTTGTTGCATTGGCCGTGTGTTTTCGGTTATTGTCATGCTGAAATACCCATCCACGACCCATATTCAATGCCCTGGCTGAGGGAAGGAGGTTCTCACCCAAGATTTGACGGTACATGGCCCCGTCCATCGTCCCTTTGATGCGGTGGAGTTGTCCTGTCCCCTTAGCAGAAAAATACCCCCAAAGCATAATGTTTCCACCTCCATGTTTGACGGTGGGGATGGTGTTCTTGGGGTCACAGGCAGCATTCCTCCTCCTCCAAACACGGCGAGTTGAGTTGATGCCAAAGAGCTCCATTTTGGTCTCATCTGACCACAACACTTTCACCCAGTTGTCCTTTGAATCATTCAGATGTTCATTGGCAAACTTCAGACGGGCATGTATATGTGCTTTCTTGAGCAGGGGGACCTTGCGGGCGCTGCAGGATTTCAGTCCTTCACGGCGTAGTGTGTTACCAATTGTTTTCTTGGTGACTATGGTCCCAGCTGCCTTGAGATCATTGACAAGATCCTCCCGTGTAGTTCTGGGCTGATTCCTCACCGTTTTCATGATCATTGCAACTCCACGAGGTGAGATCTTGCATGGAGCCCCAGGCCGAGGGAGATTGACAGTTATTTTGTGTTTCTTCCATTTGCGAATAATCGCACCAACTGTTATCACCTTCTCACCAAGCTGCTTGGCAATGGTCTTGTAGCCCATTCCAGCCTTGTGTAGGTCTACAATCTTGTCCCTGACATCACTGGAGAGCTCTTTGGTCTTGGCCATGGTGGAGAGTTTGGAATCTGATTGATTGATTGCTCCCTTTAAGAGTGTGCTCCTAATCTCAGCTCATTACCTGTATAAAAGACACATGGGAGCCAGAAATCTTTCTGATTGAGAGGGGGTCAAATACTTATTTCCCTTATTAAAATGCAAATAAATTTATAACATTTTTGACATGCGTTTTTTCCGGATTTTTTGTTGTTATTCTGTCTCTCACTGTTCAAATAAACCTACCATTAAAATTATAGACTGATCATTTCTTTGTCAGTGGGTAAACGTACAAAATCAGCAGGGGATCAAATTATTTTTTCCCTCACTGTACCTCTTGCAGAAGAGTCAATGGCCAATAACTTTGTAATTTCTGCACATGATGTTTTCCTTTCTCCATGGGATATAGTTTGTTTTGTTCTTTTTTTTTGGTGTGAGTGTGGAAATGTTTGAGCATTCTGTTACCACCGTTTTTTGTCCTGTCTTGTGAGTGATAGACTGCAGTCTTGCCAATGTGCTAGTGTCTTGTCAGTTTGTCTTGTCAGAGGGCCTGTATTTGGCTCCCGGACCTTCAGGATTTCGGTTGTGTCCTAAGAATCCTGACTGTGGGTAAGCACACAAAGAAGCCTGTTAATCTTACCTCGAAAAGGGACGCAGCTAATCACTCACCCAGCAATAAATGTATGGACACACCATTGTATTATTTACAAAGTCAGGCGGACAGTATTGATAATGCCCAAGTTGAGATCTCTGTACTCTGCAGTATTGCAGAAAGTTGTAAACTTGGCGCTTTTCAAATTATATTAACTGTACTGTAATAAAGATTGTGTTTCAAGTATGCTTATGGTAATACACGCAAATGCATTTAGATACAAATGTGACGCATACAGTTGTATACAGGATTCACATACTGTACATAGAGTATAGAGTAGTTAGTACAAGTATATATCTACGTGCAGAGTGTTTGTGTATATATTGAAACGCACCGAATAGTCACATGCAATATATCTGGTACACTATGGTACCATTTTTTTTATCCCCTATCCAATATATTGTATACCAGGATAGCACCAATGCAAAAAAAGACATTCAATAAAAAATATAAGCAACAACAAGATCAGATGGAGTTGCAGTTGGTGGAAGAATAAAAACATTTTTTTGCCACATTGGCAAAAAAATTGTAACTCCAACTAAAGGCACTTTCTTGCATATGAGTGCATTTATGCACGTGCGCTCATGCATTACCTCCGAGCCTGCACATTAGCATGTGCCCTTGCATGCATTGGTGCGTGCGTGTGCCTGTTTTCCCAAGGGGGGGGGTGGTTGTGTGTGGTTCACACACACAGGTCGACTCAGCCTCAAATGAATACCTGGTGCGGTGTGTAAACATCGCCACTCGGGGGCGTGGTGCTGGCCACCCACCCCCTCGTGTGCCGTGATGGCCTTCATAGGTGCTCGCTAAGAGCACTTGCCCCAACAGTCTGTGACGGCTATACGGGGGATCTTTATCTTTGTGGTTCAGTGTGGTGTGGTGGTTCATGCACGGACTAGCCCCAGTACTCAAGTGTACGCGTTTGGGTACAGTTACTTTGGAGCCTGTTTTGTCTTTCGAGTCCACGGGTGTACATTCACATGCCATCAATTCAAATTCCAGCACTTTGAGTCAACACGGTCGATGCAATGCTGCTGCTGCTGCTGCCTACATTTCTATCTATTGCCACCACAGAGCAGATCCAAATATTAGTTGGGCAAACAGTCCGTGATGCCTCCCGCAAACTTACCCACCCCATCCCAGGCCCCACAGTTCTGCGTTAACGAGACTAGCAAGGCGCGAGGTTTTTGAAACAATTAGTTGGTAAATCATTAATGCACATCTGTTTTAATCGTGGTGTTTTGTGCATTTTTTTTAGAGGAGGCAATTAGCATGTTCAAAAGTTAACGACTTTACAGCAACTTCTCTGCACAAGAGGGTTTAAACTGATGGGAAAAGCAATGGTCGAAGCAACCGTCCTGTGGTACCGATTTGTCCAGCGGTGTAGACATCTCGAAGTCCCGCATGCACATGCAGTCGTAACAAGGGGCGAGACAACGCGGATCACATTTTATCGCGTGATATTCTCGTTCAAATCATCGCGACGATACGAAATGTGGCGGCCAATGACAGTGGGGAAATTTAAATTATTCAATAATTAGCACAGGTTATATGTTGCGCTATCTTTGTGTACATGTGAGAGCCGAGCTTTTTTTGAGAATTGGTTATGTGTAAGTGTTCATACTGCCACATTCATTTTCTTAAAAATTTTCATTAAATTACCCTCAACACAAACACCTGTCAGCTGTTTTCTTGTGTCTTCTAAGCGAGCCGCAGAATACGGTGTGTGTGTGAGACATCACTGTTTTCGTCTCAAAACATTTTGACCCAACGCTCATGCTTACGTACACATTATTCTCGGTACACAGGATGGTATTTTCAACACGCACAAGCTTTCAGAGTATCGTATATTCATAAATAATGTTGAACTCAGAAGCTCCAATCTGCTCAGATTAGGTCTTGAAATTGTTTGCCGCAAATCTCAACTGAACGAGCGGGACAAAATGGGTATATTTTTACATACAGCAACAGAAAAAGTGTTTCTGTATGCAAATTAGTGAAAAGCATTACAATATATTGTTATATATCTTGTATCTCACAACATGCCAGTCTCCTTGGAATTGTACACATCTTTTGCATTGCTAACCTTGGATTAGATATTTTATATCGTGATGTAGAATCTGTAATAGCAGCACGATATGTAATATATGCATTTTTACCGCCACAATTGCAGTGCCTAAATATCTCCTTATCTAACCAATGCAGACGCGAATTTGTAGTCTTATCTTTGGCATACACATGCTGCATAGATATTCGTATTCATGAGTGTTATTTTAGACGTACACTGTAAGCGTAACATTTTAAAAAAATTACTAGTTTATATACTTATCAGAAATGTTTCCTGTGCAGTATGTAATATACTCATTATATCTATTGCTGAAACATGTACTGTATCAACCTCAACAATTGTTACATAGATAAATCAGACATTCAGTGTCCCATAAATTGTCTCAAAAGTAGGGCACGCTCACATTTGAGGCATCTGGCAGAGCAAAGCAATTAATTACAAGTTGTCATAATCGTAAGTGGAGGTAGAAAAAAAAAGAAGTTGCTTATCATCTTACCTTCTCAGCGGTGATCTGGCCACCGCTTGGCATCCTGTGGGGTCCCCTGTAATCTCGCGCCAGGGTGTGGACAGCGGAGCACTGGACTGCTGGCTCCAGTTCCGTCTGCGGCATCTCGTCGGAATGGACCGCAACATCTGTCGGTGCGATCTGGTGGCTCCCCCGAGCGCACGCTCCAGATGCGGTGGCCCCGGCCGCCTCCTGTGCTGCAGAGGACACCGAAGGTTGCGGTTGCACCAGGGAGCACCTCATGAGCCTCTGCAAAGCTGCCTCGGCCAAATCCCCCTGGAAGGTCTCCTTCGAAGAGCCCGCACGGTGTCCACTTTGACAATCTCCGGGCTCAGTCGCATTTCCAACGTGCACTCTGGCAGCTTGTACGTAGCTGGCGCAAGCCTCCGTCTCGGCAGGAACGTCGCCTACTCTGATTGACGCGTACTTTTCTAATGACACCGGCTCTGCTGCCGTCGCAGCATCCATCCTCTGCGCCGTGTCTGAAGTTCTCAAAGGGGCCGACTTCCCCACCTCCTGCTGCGAATGCCTCTCCTTGTACAGGCAGGTGCTGGGGCAATTCGAGTGGAGTTCCCTGCGCGGCACGGCATACCACCAGTTGGTGACGTATGGAAAGCGGCACTCGGACTTTTCTGCACCTCGGTGGAAGGCCGGTGGGACCGCTGAGGAGGCCTCTGGCCCTTTGGCTGGGATGGAGAGGGATTCAAACTCGTCGCTCGCCGAGCCGCCGGCACTGCCAGAGCAAGAAGAGAAGCTGCCCGAGGCAGACCCCGAGCCCGAGCGGGTGACTGTCGTTATCCCGCTGTCTGATGATATCCTCCGGGATGGTTCTGTCGCCGTCGATGGCAGGTGGGGCTTCGTGGGAAGTCTGGACTTGTCAGTAATCACAGCGGAAGCTCTTTGCAGGAGTGGGGACCTGGCTAGCTTTGCCTCTGGTGGCATCTGTGCAGCAATATAACAGTACACAGTTATTAGGAAATACCAAGTGTAATATTCACACAACAACCAAAAAAGACTTGAACATATATATTCGTCTTTATCCGTGACAAATGGGATTCTTATATATATAGCATGTACTTCCTGTTCGTAACGTATTGAGGAAAGTTCCAGAGTGAATACCCCACAGATTCTCCTAGATCAGGAGCCGGCAACCTTGCGGCGACGGAGCTGCGTGCCGCACTTTAAGGACCGCGTCGTGACGACGTTTATTAAGGGCCACCATCTCGTATTCACGTGCAATGCGGTTCTAGAAATACTGAGTATTATTTTGTGCTTACCAAATTCGCAAACAAAAACTGCCTCTTCTTGTTATTTTGGTTGCTGAACCCTTTGAGGGTATTACATTGTATTTAAAGCTTTCGTGACTGCAGGGATTCATACTCTTGGTTCTTTCTACGTGACTTTACCGAAAGAACAAATAATATTACATTGTAGTCTTGGTTTTGTCATAATTAGATAGAAACGATTTGTTTGCAGATTGTGCTCCATCTTGCTATAAAGGTAAAGTCTCATTGCACAGTACAAATACTTACAGGAGGTTTTATCTGCCAATAAAAAAAACAGAGGCGATTTAAAACACGTTATGTTCACATTAGCAGGTGCAATCATTTTCATAAATGAACGTTGAGGCAGTGCACGTTGCTGGCTTTGCCAATGTTCCTCATTGTAAAATGAGGTAGCTTCATGCGGAATTGCCACAACGAGGGTCTGTGTGTGTATATTTAAATGAAACCAATGTCTTCCATAATCCAGGCTTTTTTTTTAGTTAGATCGCATAAATATATAAATGTGTCGTTAAACCCGCTATCCAACACACCGGTGTGCTGTACCAGTAACGAATTGCCATGTTCTGTTTACGTGACAAACCTTACTAATTGGCTGTGTCGGGTGGTGGCGGGTTTAATGACACATTTATATTTACGTGATGTAACCCAAAAAAAAAATCTGTATTATGGATGATATTGGTCGCGGAAGCCTAGGTGTGAAACCATTCTTATATTACCAGGTAAGGCCCACTTAGCTATAAAGCTCTTTTTCAGAAGCAACCTTGCCACAAAGGATAGCTCAAGTAAGTGGTCCATCATGTGGGAATGAAAAGCAGCCAAATACTCAAAACGCGTGATGTTGATTCTAAACGTGGTGGGGAAAAACCGGAGGACCCGTAGAAAGATCCACGCGAGCACGGTGAGAACACGCAAACTCCAAATATACAGGAGGCGCCAGGGTCGTGTATCGAACCCACGTCCTCCCCGTATAGCAGGCGATGTAATTAACGTATCGCCGCAAACACCAGGATGATCCATTCATAGACATCCCACTGATTTCCAATGATCCTCTTTGTGCATTCTCAGCGGGTGAAAGAGTAACTGTGAAAGCGACGGCTCCGCCTAGTCCAGGGGGACAGAGAAGGACAGCGGTGGTTCGCATTCGCTGATCTGTGGCGCGCGCCATCCATTCCCGGGGAGAAATGCGGTGGTGCGCCGCCGCAAAGGAAATCGAATTACAAAATAGTATTTCAAATGCCGTGACGAGGTTCCTGTTAAAACGCGCCAAAGGAAAACTAAGAAACCGGAGGGAATTTGTTGCGCTCACAGGATGTCGTGCTTGGCAGCCCTCAATCACGATCTATGATTGTGTAATTTCTCCCTATTAAGTTAGTGGGGGTGGCTATACTGTAAACGGATCACCCTGTGGATATAAACAGGGCGAGATCTACTGCCGCTCGTTGCTGCTCACAGCCTCTCAGCCTCGAGGCGGCGGGGGGTGTTGGGGGGCTGGCACGTGCCGTGAGCTGCTGGATGGAGGTGTATATGAGGCTGTCTGACGGGCTGCCATCAGACTGCTCGTCTGTCGATCCGGAGACACCGGAGCTGTCTGTGAACGCCCGCGCTGCTTTAGCACGAGGGTTAACAGCTGAAACGAGAAAAAAAAGACATTCATATTTGCATTTGACACTTTTCCGAAACGTGCTTTTATAGTTCAAATGCATGTGCCGGCTATTTACATCACTTATCGCATTGCTTATTCATACCCACCAATAAAAAATGGCCCCTTAGTCATGATGAGAGTTATGATCAATGGAACTGAGCAACATTTGAATGATTGAAGACTTGTTTTGTTTTCACGCATAGCGCAAGTCTCATTCAAAGAGTTTTGCATTTCGATAATTGTGCGTTTGAATGCAGTAAATGAAGTAATTACATTTTGTTTTGCATAAACGTAATACAAACTACCGTGGCTTTATCTTTCTTTAAAAGGGTGGGTTCTTCTCAGCCATTTATAACAACATTTAAAAATGTCAGTTTGATCAAATGTGCTATTTGCTGAAACATATAAGGTAACAATGAATCAAACAGCCTTCAACGTTTTACAAGCGATTGAATAGACTGATTTTTTTTAACCAAAGAACTGACAACTAATTTGACTAAGTTCATGCAAACTTGAATGTAATACTAATATATAGCAAGTCCATTTTCCACATTTGTATTTACCCACTGCAACTTTGTATTTATTCCGTTTTGGAAGCTGTGTTTGTTAATGATGATTTTCAGTCTGCAAAATGTCACCTCTGTGTTACGTTTGGAAGTTCACTGAAGGCAGCTCAATGTTGAAGATGCTGGAACACTCATTGAGTGGAATACGGAATGACTTTAACCATACGTACTACCTGATCAGTTTTTTGTACATGTTTTTTAAGAATTAAGTTTGGTAATCAAAGTTACGAATCAACAACTCAGGTGTCACATGGCACTATGATGAACGTTCTTGGCAAGCTATGTTAGGCCACTGTAAAGTGAGCTTCCTGGGACATTGCCTTCAATAGCCTGTATGGTCCCTGAAGCAACAACAATAAACAAATAGCATCTATAATATAGATACATATAACTACTCTCATGTGTTTTTGAGTTGCACCTGCATTATGTCTGACGTTTGCACCACATGCTTTAGCTCCCAGAACATGGAGCAAAACGTCGGACATCACGCGAAAGAACACGCAGTACAACCTGTAAAACAGATCAGAGAGAGAGAGAGCTCCCCGGGGCGACCGTGAAAAAGCCTAAGCAGTAGCACAAATATAACGAGGACTGGGCGACCCTGCCCGATGTTTATGCATCACAATACCCAGCGGTGCATATGACGATCGGGTAACCACAGGTGGTCATGTGACTTTCAAATGACAATGCTGCTGAGTGAAACGTTTCCCTGCTGGCTGCTGCGTTTTCAGGTAAATTACATCAAAGCTGTCAGTGGCCACGCACTTTTGAATGTCTCTGCGTGCCATGTTCCATGGACGCTCATTGTGCGTGCGACTATGGAATCGTTGGATGGAAATGTCAAACGTGGAAAGTATGATCTCAAAAAGGGCTTCGATGAAATAGAGAGATGTCTTCTAACCAAAAGTTAGGATTCGACTTCAATGGCCATGTTATCTATGCCTTTGTTAAATCGCTATGTGATCATAGTCCCTCGATACGATTCATATGCACAGACTTACAGTGAGCTCAGAACAAAAATAAAAATAATAACAATGCATGTGTGTGGGTGTCACTGACAGTTTGCAAAATTGGAGCGTGAACCTCGGCAGAATTTTGGATGTGACTTAACTTAAAATTATTGGTCAGCATAGATTCCCATTGGATAAACGAGTTCATGCCGATTAATGCAATTTAGGCTTTCCAGAGATTGGCTCAAGACCAACCTTGGTAATTAACACAGCCTGACGCGCATTTCACCGAGGACTTTGACTTAACTTTCACTTTACCTGTTGTCATATATTGCATTAAAATGGCATCACCAAATCCTTAAAATTAAAGGTTAATAATGCTTTTAAAAAAATCCCTTTTCAAAACACAACCTCTATTGCATTGTAAATGCCCAGCCGTCGATAAATCCATTGCCGGATGGGAAGGTTCTCCAAGCCGTGCCGGTTGCATGGGCTGCTTGACCATACTTCACCAGGCCCCTGAGTTCATAGTGCCATGAGAGCGCGCACCACTGCGCCACCGCTCAACTCGACAACCTTTTGTAGTAAAGCAAAATGTCTAAACATTTCAAATGTGCACTCATCTAAATTACTGTGATGACCCAATGTGTTTTGCATCTGTGAAAAGTCATTTACTGTGACACATCCATGTGATATATTTTCATTGCTTTGTAACTCTTGCATCCACCCCCATTTATCACCAGGCCTTCTGGTGCTAAAACGACCAATATATAAGCATTAAGATAGAAGTTCACTGCATTGAGGCAAAACTAAGGTTTATACCTAGATGAATGGCGTCTGTAAATTGTATAATTTTAAAGGATACTCCTTGTCTTGTGGTTATTGTTTTTAGATTAAACTATTTTGCGATTTTCTCTCCCGCTCGATATGCCTTGTGCGTACATTTTGCTGAGCCACCTTTGCTACGAAGCGGTCTCAATTGCTGCTTTAACAAGAGCTTTGCCTATGTATGCACGGTACAGATTGTGTATTTTAAAAGCTTCATCCCTTAATACTGAGCCTCGCTTTCTGAACAAGGCGAACACCCTCCACTGGGCTGACAAATTCATTTAAATTTCTGTTCACGAATTGTTCCCCATTTTGTACTCATCACACTGAGCGTTAATAAATAAAATCTGAGCACACATTTTTTTGGGTCATTCAATTGTGAATCTTCAATGACTGGAATGAGAACGCTGCATTCGCTGCATGAGAGCCTCTATAAATAAAGAAAATATTCAGATTGTATCATTTGAGCTCAGAGGCTCCAAACCAGAATCATATACGACGTTCATTTAGAATATTATTTTTCTTAATTGTGTCTGGATTAATTCTCACTTGACCACTTCCCAAATAGGCGCAGCTTGATGCCTATGGTGATGTTATACCAATGCAAATTTTAAGCTGCACACTGCTAACGATGCAACTTGTGTCCTGTTTTACATGTGTGCAGTATGCATGATGTATAATCAGTGCTGAAATGGTGTCTGTATTTGTTGGGTTGTATGAAGACAATCATACTCCACGGTGATTTGATATATTACAAGATCCTCCAGAAAAAGAGCCTTCAGCCTCAGTGTGACCTTTCTGGGTAAATACATTATTATTGTCTTTCTCATGGCAAGCAAATAGATGAGTTCCCATACTTAAAATTGTGATTTTCGTGGTGCTTATCTGTGTTCACATTCCTGAGTCTGTGGTGTAAATTCCTCATCTCCATAGTGGTTAGGTGCAACATTTCCATGGAATAACCAACATTGTCAGGCACAATTCAGGCAGTGGGAATGAAAGTCTAGCTAGTTTGACATGGGCCAGCATGGAATATCTTGGAATCCCATGGGGATGCGGTAGTCTATTAGGATTTTCAGCACAAGGAATGTTACACTAATGAGAAATGAGTTGTACAAGATGAATTGTTTCACTCCTTTGACACTATGTCCCAGTCATGCTGTCATACACAACGTTGCATATAATGATGCTTTCTGATGTCTTACAGGGGAATGAGCACATTTGTGCCAAAGAGGATCGATGTCCCTGTGAAACCACCTTCGTTCAGGCACTACAATGCATGCTTCGTGTCTTTAATAGTGCATAGAGTATACAGTGAGGGAAAAAAGTATTTGATCCCCTGCTGATTTTGTACGTTTGCCCACTGACAAAGAAATGATCAGTCTATAATTTTAATAGTAGGTTTATTTGAACAGTGAAAGACAGATTAACAACAAAAAATCCAGAAAAACGCATGTAAAAAATGTTATGAATTGATTTGCATTTTAATGAGGGAAATAAGCAGTTGATCCCCTCTCAATCAGAAAGATTTCTGGCTCCCAG